GTTAAAACAAATGTATCTTTACTAGTAGTCATGTGTGGGGGATTAAAACAAATGTATCTTTACTAGTAGTCATGTGTGGGGGATTAAAACAAATGTATCTTTACTAGTAGCAGTATCCGTGGAGTTAACTTTTTACATGCACAACTTTGATTCTAGGAGATATAAAAGAAGGATTATTCCAGAAAAACTGCCGCACTTGAATTATGGACTCCAACTCAATACCTCTGGCACGCCAAAGGAACAATATCACGTGTATTATGGACTCCAACTCAATACCTCTGGCACACCAAAGGAACAATATTACGTGTATTATGGACTCCAACTCAATACCTCTGGCACGCCAAAGGAACAATATTACGTGAGCTAGAGAGTCAACCTCATAGTAAGTGATTTTGTTGAGATCTGAAACTGCTATATTATATATTCTATATTACCTTGTTTATGTTTTTTCATGTCGAAGGATTCAGGTATTTTTCATGGTAAGTATATTAATATTTTTTTAAATTTCATATATCATTCACTATAACCACATATGATTTACGTTGTTATTGTTGGTTGTTGAATTGCAAACAAAATTTCTCGAGGACCATCTGCACTAGCGTCACTAATTTTCAAGTGATAGACATACTCGTGATATACTCTAATTAAATAGTTGGATTTGACCCGTCACTCTTATAACACACTCACGGCCCTAACGTGCTGAACGATACTTCGAATCTACAGCCCGGCACGCAAATCACTGAGACACGCCTGGCCCATGTGTAATTGAAACAGCAAAGAAAATCGCTTCTGTTAGTGTTATTCTCAGTTATGATCTTTGATGATAATATTCAAACATACAGAATATTTTAGGTTTCTTTGTATTATTTATAACCCAAAACCGGTTTGTTAAAAACTCTTTAACTGAGGTGTATTCTACAGAAGACGAAAAAAGTCAAGGACCATGATTATTTTTTAATGTGACTTAACGTATCTATTTGAGGACGACTTCACGTACAAATATAAAATATGTGATATATCTAGAGATTAAACCGAAGGTTAATGTACGTTGGCATAATATACTTTAACAGTATTTTTGACAACTTATCTTTAGTTAAGATAAGCCGTACGTGGCTTAGTAGTTAATATATTAGGCTAAGGATCTAAAGTTCTCAGATTCGAACCAAAATATACTGCAGAACACAACCCATTATTAACTATGGTAGCATTATAAACACGACAAGTTTTCCGGTATGGGTATAAGTTTTACATTTAACATATAGTTCATAATGAGCGCGAGCCAAATGCCACCTATGAGCAGCAAACTGGATCAACCTGCGCTATATTAGTTACAACAGTTATGTGGGTCGCGGGTTCGAATCCTCGTCACACCAAACATGCTCGCCCTTTCAGCCGTGGGG